ATACTCTGGGAAACTTATCTAAACCATGCCAAACCTCTGAATTGTTGTACAGTTTGCACATTACTAGTTGTAATAATCATGCTTAGCACTTAACCCTTTCAAAGTACTTTGCAAACAGGGTTGATTATCATGACACCTCTTTCAGGTAGGTAAATATTAGTAACCCCAATTTAGAGATGGGCAAACTGAGGCACAGTGAGGTGAAGTGTCTCGTTTACAGACAATAAATGAGCCAGAGGGATGAGACAAATTCTGGAATTCCTGGCTACCAGCATAAGTCTTAGTAATAATGATAATACCTAGCTGTTTTCATCAGTAGATCTCAAAGTGCTTTACAAAGGAGGTCAGTATCATTATCCCCATTTTACAGATGGAGAAACTGAGTCAGAGAGACAGTGACTTGGCTGAGGGCAGAGGCACAGCTGGGAATTGAACACACGTCTCCTGAGTTCCAGTCCTGTGCTGTCTCCATGCTGCTTCTCTAAATATAAGATACTCTTTTATCTGAGAGATTAATATGCTTTTTTTGGGGCGGGGGAAAGTTCAGCATACTGGGATTTGTATAGGCTCATCAGAGCTTTAAATGTCACCCTCTGTACATGTTACAGGAGTTGGACAAATAGTGATTTTCCATTTGTTAAAAGGTTTATTTGCAAAACAGCTTGTTGGAAATAATGGGTCTAATTCCCAACATTAGTGTTTTAGACTCCACTGATTTCTGGGGAATTTCATAATGGAAAGATAGTGTATGAGAGTGAGGAATCAGGCCTGGTGTGTACAATAACACAGATTCAAAATAACTAATAGCCTAATGGTGCTTCAGACTTTAAGAAATTAAGCAAAGAAACTATTTGAGCTGGGAACAAAAAGAAGCTATTAAAACATTCCCTCTGGTATTTTTATTTTGTTTACTCATGAGACCTGGCTCATGCCCCTCGGAATCACATTTAGTCCATATTTGGAGAACTCTGCACTAGTTAGCATACTTACACTCAGGCAAATTTTAGATCTTTTTTTTAATACACTGTGTGCTTTTCTTCTTATTATTTTTTCTTTTTTTCTTAAACAATTTAAATCAGAAAGTTGCCCCTTCCATTTGGCTTTAAAAACATGACCAAAAAGGGATCTAACTGCTTTAGTCAATTAGTTGAAACTAGCATTTCTCTTTCTTTTGTTATTGCTCTCTGGTCATCACATTCCATTCCACATGTCTTCTCTTAAAAAGAAAAGAGAAGTCTATGCTGTCCTTGAGTTGTGATGGGGGGAACCTCAAAAAGTTTGGACTTTGGGGCAGTTCAAATAAACTGCCTAAAGTTTGGATGCTTTTCCGTATTATTCAGGTCTGCAAAACTGGGCTGGAAATCTTGAGGAGTGAGGTTTCTCTTCAAATGTCCAGTACTTCCTGCTAAGAGTCATGGTTGAAATATCCCCAAAAGCAGCAGCCTTTTTTGCATATTTTGGAACTTCCACTTCTGGCCAGAAATCAGGCATATGACAGAATTAACAATAATGGAGAACAGCATTTAACCAAATTGTGCAGAATTTGAAAAATAAATGAATAAATTAAGAAGTACATTTTTGGGGCAAAAGGGTCAGGGAGGTTATTCTGTTTTCTCCAACTGGCTCTGAGGTTTCTGTAAAGGGACTAAACCCTACTGACATCAGTGGGACTTAATCACATGCTTAAAGTTAAGCATGTGTTTAAATGCTTTCTGGAACTGGGGCCAGAAATTAAAGATCCCTATCCAGTTCCCTTTGAAATCAATGGGAGTCTTTCAAATTATCTGCTCTGATGCGTAGTCAGTCGTATTAAATTGTGACCACTTTTTCCTGCTGTTAGCATTGGCGAGTCAGTGTAGCTGTGGGAGAAAAATACTGAGTCTGCTTATGTGCATCCATACCTCTCAGCCTGCAAGGCTCAAATGTGAGACAGAGCCTCAAAATGAGGTAAACAAGCAAACAAAAATTCTTCAAGCAGAAAACTTAAGGTTCTGTAGTATTGATTCTCCTAGTTTTGATAGCTCTTTCTGTAATCTCATTTCCATGACTGTTAATTCCAATTCTCAATAATCTTCAATTAGAAAAGTGGAAAGGATACTAAATTTGTGTGGAACGTAGGTAATTTTGGGACTAAAATGAGTGATGTCCCTTTAAATAAGGGACATTTTGAGACAATACATTTATTAACTAAGTTCTAACTGCAGTGTTAAATTCTCAGTTATAACTCTGCAGCTCAGCTGATGCCAATGGGTTTGCACAGGACAAACTAAGGGCATAATTTGAAAGCAATGGTGGCTGAGATTTTCAAAGTAGCAGTGTTGTCAACTCTCGCAGTTTTATAGTGAGTCTTGTGATATTTTGTCTTCGTAAAGCCCCAGCTCCTAGCTTACCTGCTAATTTAACCTACTCCTGAGGGAATTGTGCATCAAAAAATTAAAAATTCTGTGCACAATATTTTAAAATTCTGCAATATGCTTCAAAATTCCAGGTGCAGCTGGTTGGGGCTCAGTGAGGTGGGAGTGCAGGGGGCTCATCAGGGTTGTCCAGGTGCAGGGGAGGTGGGGACTCATCGGGATGGGGGTTCGAGTGTGGGGGGCTCAGTGGAGGGTGGTCTGGCTTCAGGGGTGGGGATCCAGATGCAGAGAAGATGGGCTTGGTTGGGTCCAGATGCAGGAGGGGTGGAGCTTGGTGACGGGGGGGCAGGGTCTGAATGCGGGGGGCTCAGACGTCATTTTTCTCTAGGGAAGCAAAGAAATCTGCAGGGGACATGAATTATGTGCAGGTGCAATGTCCCAGAATGTCCCAGGAGTATTAACCCCAGGCAGTCACACAAGCACAGCTGGGCCCCATTTGAGCTGCCTGGTTGGCCAAGCCGCCTGATGGGATTAGCAGATCTGCTTTTAAGATCGGCAGCAACAGCAGGGCACTAGCTGTTCAAAGCATTTGCCCATGGTTCAATAGCTCCTGCACCGGCTTGTTCTGGTCCTGCTCCTGTCTGATTCCAGCCACGGACTCAGCCTTGCCTCACTCCAGATAATCCAGTTCTGATCCCTGGCTCAGGGATCTTCTGACTTCTGTTCTGACCTTTGGCTCTGGCATCTGGCCTCTGACTGTGGTTCTGACTCTGGGTTCCTGACTCTGGCTGTGACCCTTGACTTCAATGCCTGCTCTGACCACCAGGCATGACCACCCACATCCTGGTCCCTAAAACCCAATTAAAAAAAAAGATGATTTGTGGGTGCATCCAAAATCTTGAAAAATAGGCTGACTGCACCCTAAGGGGTCAAAATCCAGAAGGGAAGTTTTTATTATGATTTTTAAACAATTTTAATGATTTTCAGGACCTGACTCATGATTTCTGAGTGCTTGGGCTTAGTGATATAGAAGGATCTGGAGGGCTTATACAAAAACTATATCAGTATAGTTAAAGTGGTACAATCCCCAGTAGTGTGAATGCAATTATACAAGTAGACAGATACTCATGATGGTAAAGATTATTTCCATACAAGAAGGGGAATAATCTATACTAATAAGGCATTTTTATACCAGTATAACTTTGTGTACACTAAGGGTGGTACCAGTATAATTATATTATAACATATACCCCTGACTGAAATAGTTATACAACTCGTACAAAAACTGTGGGTGACTAAGAGAGTTAGATGTCTCTTAATTTCAATTTGATTTGGGTGTATAAGGCCTCGTCTACACTTGAAAATTGTACCACTATAACTATTTTGGTTAGAAGTGTGGGGTTTTTTTTAACCACTATAGTTGGTACAACTCTTCAGTCTGGTCTACATGTACAATTTAGGTCACCTTAGCTAAATAGGTCAAAAGATGTCAGAAGTCCACACCCCTGACCAACAAAGCTACGCAGACCTAACCCCCAGGAAGGATACAGCTATGTCAACAGACAAATGCTTCCATCTGTCCACACTAGAGGGGCTAAAACTGCTTAACTATAGTAGCATAGTTAAAATGATACAACTTTCTAGTATAGACAAGGCATAACTCCCTGACATCTGATCTACATACAAACGTGCACCATAATAACTAACGTATGCACTGCTGTCTTGCTTCAGTGTAGATACTACCTATGCTGACAGGAGGGATTCTCTTGTCAGTATATATAATCCAGCTCTGCAAGATGTGCTAGCTAGGTCAACGGAAGAATTCTTCCGTTGACCATCAGTCTACACTGGGGGTTACGCCAGTATAGCTATGTCTCTCAGGGATGTGGATTTTTCACACCCCTGAGAGACATAGCTAGACCAATGTAAATTCCTAGTGTAGACAGGCCTAATTTTTTAATTCATACCCTTTGCTATTTCAGAGCAAGTCTTTGTGTAGGCACTTTTATTCAGAAAAATTCCGGTGTACACTAAAATAATACATTATGTGAATTAAAACCAATGTAGTTATTTTGCTGCATGTTTGTGTGTAGACCAGCCTTTAGGCTCCTATGAAAATTCAACTTGAAGTTTCGTAGGTGTTGCTGAGAAAAATCACACCCCAGACGGATGCAGCTATGCCAACATAACCCTCATTGTAGACACAACCATGTCAACAGAACAGTGCTTCCATCAATGGAGCTAGCCTCATTCGGGGAGGTTTTGTTCCTGCCCTGACAGAAAAACCCCTTGGTGTAGGCTGGGTTTATGCTTCAGGGCTATGCTGGTATAATCTCTGTAGTGTAGACATATCCCGAGAGAAGAATTAGGCCTGCAGAACCTTCATTACTGATAATGATGTACAAGCTAGAAAAAGCTCAGTGTAACATTTAGATAGCAGGGTGTGTTTGCAGGGCTGCTAATAAGAACATCTTTTTAAAAAAATTTTAAACAAAGCAAATTTGAGCCAAAATATTACAGTTAAATCCCCATTTAGGATATTTGTTTGCATGCAAACCACTCCACCAAAGAAAGTACATTGCATATATTGTATTATAAGTTAGCACTGTACTGTACAATGAAGTGATCCATTTTCTAACTAAACAGGTCCTGCTTTCTCAAATGGTCACTAAATGCTCTCTAAGGTGGTAGGGTCATCTGCTCCAAATGCCTACCAACTTCCCTGTGAGAATCATCTTCGATTCTGAGTCAATGAAACCAGCATAGAAAAGAACACTCTCTCCCTCCACCACAGAAGACCTAAAATATGATGACTGGAGAATGTCAACAGATACCTATCCCTCACAGGCATTCTACACCATAACATGCCAGATTTGTCTCAGGACGGAACATCCATGAGGTACATAATATGTTTGGTAGTCTCTATGTTGTCCAAGCAACTGCATGAGAACTAACCTAACCAAACTCACTGTACTAAGTCCAAGAGAAGAATGTGTATATCATATTTTACATAATTTTCCAGGTCAATAGCCATTGCAGTTAAGACTGACTATTGACGATCTGCCTTAGGTACTTATATGGCTGCCATTATCATAGGATGAGTGCCTCACAATCTTTTAACATATTTATCCTCACAGCACCCCTGTGAAGAAGGGAAGTACTATTATCTCCATTTTATAGATGGGGAACTGACTAACATAAACAGACTAAATGTGACTTGCCCACAATCACACAAGAAGTCTTTAGAGAGGAGAGATTTGAACCCAAGTCACCTATCTCTCAGGTGAGTGAAGGGGATGAGAGATTTGGGATGCAGGAGGGTGCTCTGGGCTGGCACCTAGGGGTTCAGAGGGTGGGAGGGGGATCAGGCTGGGGCGCAGCGGGGAGGTTGAGAGTTCTGGTTGGAGGTGCAGGCTCTGGGGTGGGGTTGGCTATGAGGGGTTTGGGGTACAGGAGGCTGCTCCGGGCTGGGACTGAGGGGTTGAGGGCAGGAGGGGGATTAGGGCTGGGGAAGGGGGTTGGGGCATGGGTGGGGGCTCAGGGGTGCAGGCTCCGGGCAGCACTTACCTCAATGCATGTCCCCTCTCTGGCTCCTATGTGGAACAATGGCATGTCCCCTCTCTGGCTCCTATGAAGCAATGGCATGTCCCCTCTCTGGCTCCTATGTGGAGGCGAGGCCAGGCAGCAATGCACGTTGCCCCATCCACAGGTGCCACCCCTGCAGCTCCTAGAAGCAGCAGCATGTCCCTCTCCAGCTCCTACACGGAGGCGCAGGGCCAGGCAGGTGGCTCTGTTCCAGCCAATGGGAGCTGCAGGGGGTGGCGCTTGGGGTGTGGGCAGCATGCGAGCCCCCTGGCTGTCCCTTCCCCTAGGACCCTGAGGGGGAACATCCTGCTGCTTCCAGGAGCCACACCTAAAGCCCCTGACCCTGCTCCCTGGCTGGAGCGCCAGAGCGGGGCAAGCCCCCAACCCTGCTCCCCGGCAGGAGCTCGAGGGTCGGATTAAAAGTTCCAATGGTGTGGACACGGCCCGTAGTTTGCCCACCCCTACACTAGACACAACTGCAATATTCATAATTAAGAAGGTATCTTCCCCACCAGTCTGTGGGGCAGATTTCTCATGTTAGGGGGGGCCATGATCACAAGCACTGGCTTCCTCTGGGCACCAGGGGTGCTCAAACCCCAGCTCTGCCCCAGGCACTGCCCCCACCCCGCCCCTTCTCCCAAGTCCCCATCCCTGCCCCACTCCACGCCCACCCCACCTCTTCCCACCCCATTCATCCTCCGAGTGTGTCCTATCACGGGTCTTCTCCCTCCCCTCAACTAGTGCTTCCTGCATGCTGCAAAACAGCTGATTGCATTGGGCGGGAGGGAGGGGGAGGAGTTGAGAGTTGGGGCTGCCAGTGGACAGGAGGTGCTGGGCGGGGGAGAGGGGTAGAGCAGGCTGCTGGTGGTGCTAAGCACCTGCTAATCTTTTTCTGTGTGGGCTCCAGCCCTGGACAGCCTATGAACATGATACTTCAGAGAGGAGCCTATGAATAAATTGCATCTGAAATGCTGTTTGGCTACCTTTGGTGGAATTGTATGATAAGGTGACAGGCAAAATCAGATCCCTAGCCAGATCACTTGCAGAGCTTTAGTATGCAAAAAATAGTAATTCAAAACAACACCTCAATTAAGGATAAAAATAATTCTGAAAATAATACACTATTTGCAAGGAAATATGCAAAATATCCTCAGTCAGTTCTTAAGCAACCACAGAGCTGTCAAATGCACAAGTAAGGTAATTTTGCTGTTAATATTGTTGCACATTATAAATATTAATTGAATGACATTCATCATTAGTTTCATTATTGTTTAGCCACTATTTCCCTCTCCCCCATTTAAATTGGCAAATAATTGGTTTTGTTCTGTTCACGTCTGTTCTCATGAAAGAAGATTAATGTTGAAGGGAAAAAAACGAGTATACAAAATAACTAAAAGGGTTTAAGTACTATAACAATTGTGATTCTAAGTACATTGTGAGTAAAGCTGTAAGCTAAGTAATTAACTTTTGGATAAATCATGCACCAAAAGGGGATTCATGTACCTTTGAACTGCTGGCCAGCCTGAGATCTGGCTCCAGCTATCCTTCAGTGCTGTGGAAAATGTATCCTTACTGCATGTCACGCCACCATGAGGTTAGGGGGAGATGGACTGGAGGCTCTGACCAAAGGTGATAGAATAGCTGAAGAAAGGCAACAGACTGCCTATGGGTGAGACTACTTGGGCTTTATGTCAAGAAAAGCCAAAGGATTGTCATGAGGGCCTTGCAGCCAGTAAACACAGTTCATTAATAGCTTAGTGGTAGAGTTGCTAGTTAATATTCAGTTGTCTGAGACTGGGACAGATCCTGATAATAGTTATGCTGGACTAAATCCCAGGTAAATGCCTTGACTTTAGTGGTGCTCAATTGGATTTCCTGTGTGTAATTAACATCAGAATCCGGCTCTCTGTGCTCTTAGCGTATATGCATATTTTTCATATAAGTTATATTACTTTGCACTGTTTTAAGCAATTAAGCCTGTCAACAGAACTGTGTGGTAGGGAAGTGTTATATCCATTGTATAGATGGGAAAATGAGTGCACAGAGAGAGTAACACTACTTATGAAGGAGAGACACTGAGTCAGTGGTAGAACCTGGAAGAGAAGCCAGGTATTTGGACTGCAGTAGTGAAATCCTGGCCCCACTGAAGTCAATGGCAAAATTGGCCATAGATTTTGGGAGTGTGTGTGGAGGATTTCATACCAACTATCATTCTCTAACCAGGTTACATGCTCCATTCATCCCTGGACCCCTAGTTCCTGAGTGGAAGAAAGTGCATACACCATCCTGTATCGCCACAGACCCAACCATTCTGCAATTATTTCTAGCAGTGTAATTAATGCAGATTCCTAGGTTTCACATACTTTCTCTTTCATGTCCTAGTGAAAGCTAGTCACTATTTCACTGTGGAGAGTGTAGCAAATCAGTCAATGTTTATATGGAGAAATCTTTCTCTGAGCTAGAGGCTGGAACCAGCCCTTCCCATATGCACTGTCACTGGAAGTATAATGCAGACAAAAAGAGAATAACCTCATACCAGTTGCTGTGAACTGAGACTTTGGTTGAGCAGTCCCTGTCTCCCTCTTCCACACCTGGTGAGAATTTCCTTTCATATCTGGAATTAGTTCCTTCACATGGACAGTCTGGGTAGGGGTCATGGAACAACAGTATCACCTCTTTTTCCACACTCTGCAGCACACTGGTCTGGGTGATATGTACAATGTATAACCTGGAGGGATGTGATCATGAATGGGTGATGGGATCTTGCCTTCCACTGATTACATGGTCAGGCAATAGGAGGTGGTACTCTTCACATGTCTACTCAGGGTCTGCCAATAAACCTGGCACAACTGCAGCTGATCATTCAGCATTTCCAGTGCATGCTATAAACAATATTCTTACTCTTGCAGACCCTCATATGCATCATCAAGAGAATGTCTTATTCATATCTGACATATTCAAAAATCTCACCAAATTCCTGTGTCCCCACAGTCTGCTTTCTCACTGTCTGGGTAGAACCAAACATGGCACAGTTATGGATGCCTCTATAACAAAAATAGCAGTAGGTATGGCCATTTTCATCGCTGTGAAATTATTTTTTCACTCAAGAGAATTTAAAAAAAAGATGGTAATAACTGATGCATAACTTTAGGGCTGTGTGAATCCTGGAGGAAACACTGTGCAAACAGAGCCATAAAATGCAGATCTTGGCAGGAAGTCAAATGCAGCAGGATGGTTTGGAAAGAACCCTTGCAACCCAGACCTCTTTACTCATCCTCAGGTGCTCTTTTGCTGCCACCAGCCCTGCCCCCAACAATAAACCAGCTTCTTAACTTAAATGTCTTTATGAGCAGAAAAGGGTAACTGTTGTGGGGAGAGTGGCCAAGAAGATGTGAGAGGTTTACTGTGTCAAAAATCTTAGCCCTTGTTCCACAAGATTTCTCAAGAATGGGCTATGAAGAGAGTCATGTAAAGGGGTGAAGCTGTCCTTGGAACTGACTGATAATTACACTTGAATCAGTAAGTATCTTTGTGCGTATTACATTGGTGACAATAACAAAGGCACAGAAACTCAAACAACTACAATGGTACAGCTCACATGGGCAGGATGGCTAATTGTGGTGCGTTCTTGAGCTACTGTTTTTAAGAAACTGTTTTTTTTCTCTTGACTTTTATGCATATGAATATGTTGGATTTCTGAGCACAAAATACTTCTCATTCATCAGAAGGAATGACTTGAGGCTATGTTAGGTAGATGCTTGTGGTTGAAGTACGTTTTTGATTAGTAGATTATATGTGTGATGCATTTGTGCCGGTCTGTGTATATCTATTTCAGACTACAAAACTCCATTCTGTTCTGTGAATGCCATTTTGAATGTAAACTATGCTACATCTTCACTACTGTCTTTACCTCCATCCTGCTCTGGGATTCCAGGGTGTGTTGGCAGAGGGCTAACGGTGTAGAGCAGTCAACCATCATTAACTTAGAGGTTCTTGGAGAAGCACCCTAGGACAATGAGTTAATGGCTGCTCAAGGAACTATTTCTCCCAGGTGAGTTTGTAACTCAGGAATGTAACTAACCTTCTGAGGGACTTAAAGCCACTGAGGTAAGTCACGTGACTGGGGGACTGAAACCTTAAAAAAGGAAGGCTCTCTGACAGGCTATTTTAGGTAGAGAGTAGATCAGAAGGCAAGGCTGTGCACGAGGAGATGTGTGTCTTGGGACCATGAACTCACTGACCCAAAACCTAGAGGGTCCTTGGAATCATAAGGACACTGCAGGGAAGGTTTTGTGTGCAGGGTTTTGTTATTTTCTAGACATCTGTATATCTCTTCTGCTTTGGGTTGCATCGACAAGGACCAGATCTATGCACTTCTGCCCATCACTGTGGGCAGGAGCAAAGCAGCTTATCAGCAAAGACCTAACCAGTGGTGGTTTTAGCTTGATTTTTATTCAGAGGTGCTGAGCGCACACAGATCCTTTTGATTTCAATGGAGGCTGCAGATGGTCAGAGCCTTTGAAAATCAGGTGCCCACTGTATGACTTTCTCAAAGAGCTCCCATGCATTTCAGTGATAGCTGAAATTAAAGGTCACTAAAGGACTTTTTATTCTAGCAGAGAAAGGTATAACAAGAACCAATGGCTGGAAGTTAAAGATAAACAAATGTAAATTCAAAATTAGCATAATTTTTTAACA